CATCTCTATATTATCAACGCTGTTTCCAGCACAAATCCAAAACATATCCCCACACTAGCTACTATGAAGAAAATTAACCCTCCCAGCTGAAACCAGGACACAAGGGTAGGCAGTGCAAAAGGGGTTTCTGAGCTTAGGATGCATTGGTTTTGAAGTTCTTTAAGTATCTAAACAAGGATATAAGTAGCTAATTTTAGCAACTTTTAAAAAAAGTATTGGTCTGGAAATATCACAGACATATAGAAGGTAATATGAACAATCCTTTCTCATCACTGAAGGAGAAAGTACTCTGGGAAATTGAAAGACATCTAACTTAAATAAGATTTTGAAAGAGTTTTACATGATGTGTAATTAACCTTAAGAAGTCTTTGCCCCAAGGTAGAGTCAGGGCTTTTTTAAGATTAGAAAATGAATTAGGTATTTATACAGATTGGTAGACCATCCACTATCCATCATCTGGGCTGCAAGGAACACAAGGGAGGTGAGGTAAGATTTCACAGGTTAAACGAATAACGCAACCACTAAAGATCGGCTTTTTAACTTCAGATATTTGAAAGTGAAGCCCCCACATAACCCACCATTCAGGTTTCCTCTGAATTCAGTGGAGAAAGGTATTTCTTCAGGGAGTGGCAAAGCCTTACCTACCTTAAATACTTGTTCTTGCAGGGGATAAATTGCTCTTTGTGGCGGTACCAGTCTCCTGTTCACTATGGAGGGATCAGAATCCCGTAGTTTAAATTCAATGGGCTGTATCCCTTACTGCCAGGAATTGGAAGAATGTATCCAAATCTGGAGAAAGCACTTTAGATCTAGCATCTCAAGCTGTGCTAGGCTAGGCTTTCCAGTGATTTCTGCTTCAACTATTATTTGCTTGTACCACTAGTGAATATAATCTCAGTTTTCCAGTTAGCAGCTCTATTTTCTTGTAAGCTAAGGCTCTTCCATGGCTTTTCTCTTGTCTAAGTGATGTTTTTTATGTATTGCAGATAATGACACAGTATTACTGCAGCACTGATACATTTCACAGACTTTACCAGGGGGGAAAAAAACCATTCTGGAGTAATTTTTGTCAGACATGAATTGTTGCTAACACAAGAGTTAAGCTTCTTACAACAGTTGAGTTGGTAAAATGAAAAGGAATGATCTGTATTTCATGAGGCATATAAGAGACTAAGTCCTACAGGCCCCTATGTGTAGAGATTTGAAGTGTTTGGGAGTTAGGTGTCTTTGAAAATCTTGCTTTTTTAGGCACCTGCTTGCTTTGGGTAGTGGGTCCTAGGCACATCCAGGGTGGAAATGGGGTACAGACTGCTCAGGTCTTTTTGACGGTTTTCTCCTGAGCTGCTTTGAAGTGTTAGCCTCAAGCTAAAAGGCAATCCGAGTTTACCGATTTCGCATTTTGCCTGCACAAAGATGAAACGGAGCCTTCAGCTGCCTTGAAGAAAGGCTATTAGAGATCGCTGAGAAACTTCGTGAGGATCTGGATAGCAGCAACAGAGTAAAAAATTTCCCTAATTCTCTCTTTTTATAACTTATCACCAGCGACATTTCAACAGTCAAATCTTTACCATAAAACCTAAGTGCTTGTGAATATAGTAATAGAAATTCATGCCCTGCTCCTGCCCACATTGCTGGGCTGGGAGCTCCAGACTGTCTCATGTCTTCGTTTAATTTAATTGCATCGCAGGGGAGCTGCAGGTCCTGTGGTGCTAGACGTGCCACAAGCACAAAAGGAACCTGCCCCAGTGATCTTGCAGGCTTGGTGGATGAGAGGGCAAAGAGAAGCAGAGGGATTTGACCAACATCATACTACACAGCTGGGGTGGGCTGGAGATCCCTGGTGGTGCAGCTAAGGGGGGAGCCTTTTAATACCACTGGCTTTGCTGTGTTCCAGCTACCTCCCCAGATGCACTGCGGATGTCACACTGTCTCAGCCTATGTTTTGCTAAGCCAAAGGAGCTGAGCTTGCTGTGTCTTAGAAGCAGGGGCTCAGTTCCCTTCATCAAGCCACCTTCTCTGCACTTGCTTCCTCCTTCCTTCCTGATCCTGATATGCTTTGTGCTTTCCCCGTGCGTTGTTAGGTACCACCTTTGAGTGCCCCAGGGTAGCTCAGATGTCCTAATGTGGCTGGCAGATGTGGCACAAGATCTAAAGTGAGCAGCTGTCAGGGTGGCAGCTGCTGACCAGGGGAAGCCCTGCAGGGATGGCAGCCAGGGAAGTTGAAGGAGTGGTTGGATGCTGGAGCAGAGCTGCAGGGAGCTGTGAATGGCTGGGGAGGGATAGGGGTAGAGGCAGGGGGGCCACAGCCAGGGATGCTGTAGGTGCTCAAGCTGAGATAGCACTGCTTACCTGGCAGTGATGTGGGGACAAATACCTTCTCTCCCATAGGATGTCCTCTATGTGTGTCTCGCTGCTCAGAGTGGGTTTGGGGCAAGTGTTATGAGGGTGTCCAGATCCATCCCATTTGACAACTTTTCCTTCCCTTTCCCAAAGACCCCACGTGACCATGCCAGGGCAAAGCTGGGACTGGCAGAATCGCTGCCTCTTCGGTCTCAGCCAAGGACAAGGTGGGGAGAAAACAGGAAGGTTTTGTACAATATACTGTGTGAAACCACTTTCCTCCCCTGAGGGCTAAATCTTGCTCCCGTTGATACTCAGATGGCCCCTCTGTGGCTTCAGGTGCACATGAATGGTGCAGAAGTTGTCCCTGTGCGGCTTCAGCCGTTGTGAGGAGAAAACACAAAGCCTTATCTTAGACATACTTAGTGTTGCTCTCAGCCAGAAGTTACTGCTCAAAGTCATTCAGCTTTAATACACCTCCTTTCTAACTCGGGCTGAAGCTGGTCCCCTCCGAGCGGAGCAGTTAGTTTGTTTAGCAGAGAGTGTAGCTTGACAGGTTGACAGTATTGACCGAAGGAGATCTCAGCAGGATGGACTAGCTCCAGCTGCGTTGGCAGGGGTAATGAGATGAACATACTGAACCAGCCTCCATCTCTGGCACCCATGGTGGCCACTGCAAGGGATCCCAGCTTCAAAAGCTGCACACCAGGGAGGAGAGGAGGCCTGGGAGAGTTAAGTGCAGAGCCTGTCCAGAGGGTCAGGGAGACTCCCCTAGGAGAACAGCTGTGACTGATCTTGTGTCCCCACAGTGACAGAAGCTCATTTTGAGTAGTCCATCTTGTCGTTTTCACTGCAGCAGGCTGCTTTGAAGTCTTGCTACGCAGAGTCCTTTCTTTGTCCTTCCCCATGAAATGGGAGTAAATAGGTCAATACTTTCTGTCACCTAGGGCTTTAGAAGATCCTAATGCCATTATCTCAAAAAGAAGATAGTGCTGCAGTCTGGCTCATAAATTGGCAACTTGGGAGCTACACTTACGAAAAAGTAAACGGCAGTAAAGAGGTTCCTGTAATACACTACAGGACCGCAGACGGAGAGTGCTGGAGCACGGTGACGTTTTGCCACCTGAATGCACGAAAGCCTTCTGTGGTGGCTATGCTGGAGTTTCAAAACTCATCTTCTCCAGAGATACCCATGATTTTTAAAAGAGATTTCAAAGTCAGTTGACAGTTGTGTGATTGGAGCTAGGAGGGGTAGCTGCAGCTCGCAGCTAATGATGATCGCTGCTGTGTGTGAAGCCAGCATCCTCTGTCGTGTTTCAGTTCCCTGGGGCAGCGAGCCAGGCTGGCTGCTGGTGTGTACCAGGCACACCTGATGCCAGCCCACCTTTGGTTTTGGTGATGGCTAGTGGGAGAAGGGAGGGAGACTAGTAGTAAGCTATATTCTCTGTGTTGTTATATTTCTAATGTTGGTGTTCTTGTCTTTATGTCTATGCATTCTTTAGCTATGAGGATAACAGACCCTTCATCAAGTAAGAATGACCTGAATGGCTGATAAATTTCGTTTATCAGTGTGGTCTCATGAACCAGCTGTCAGATCAATATTGAAAAATCATTAAAGCTTCTGTCATTCGCATTTGAGGCAGAAGAGCAAACTGTGCAGGAAAATGGTCAGGCGTACAGTTAATGTGCAGAGTAAATGTGCTGCATATGTATTGCCAACCAATTGTCACTGCATTGGCTTTATATTCTTTGATTGGACATTACTTGAATTCAAGGTGAACGATCCCAAGTTAATCCTGCGTAGTACAGACTTGTTATACCAATACAAATACCTCTGGTCCACTGTGCTCTGTCACTGAGAGTGCTTTATGGTAATATAAATACTGAAGTAAATTTTCAGAAAGGTGCATGGGTGGTAATCCCCATGATTCCCCTTCTAGTTAATGGGAGCATTGCAAGCAAGTCTGTCTGGTGCAGTGGAGGCTGTCTCCTTACTCATTGAAGTACCTAATTGTCCCTAATTGTAAATCTCTGATTTTCAATTACACCAAAACATGGATGGTTTTGTGTCTTTATTGCTATAAAATTGCACTACAGAAAAGAAAAACTGTGAAAAAGCAACAGCAAGTCTGTACAGAGAGCAAAACAAAAACCATAAGCCGCACCCAAAAAAAGGTGAAGAAAGCCAAAAATGCCTAGAAATTACATGCCTTAGGGCATCCATACTTTTTCTTCTGCAACCAAAAAGTAATGCACAGTAGCACAAAATAGAAGCAAATCAACTTTGCAGTAGACTTTCAGTTTGTTCTTCTGGTGAAGAGTCCTTTGTGTTCATTCTTGCAGCATCATTCCCATATTCTCTTTCATCGCTTGGTTCTTTTTTTTTCTGCGGATACGGGATGGAACTATTCAAAGTAATCTCCACACCCTCTTTATCTCCAGGTCTTGTTTTCTGAAGCACAACACTGTAACGTGCAGTTTGCACTGTTGAGGGTCTTCTAACCCACAGGTTCCTTTCCATTACTGAAGGTAGCATATTTCCACTAAATAACTGTTTCAGTCCTGCACATCTCTGCAGCCAAAGACTCTTTAATCGGGTTCAAGAACTGGCTGTGATTCAGAGCAGAATAGCTTTCTGATATCCTGGGAATAATTTTTAAAAGACTCTGTAAACGCAGGAAGCTTTTAATCGTGGAAAAGAAGAGAACAGAAGGGGAGGGAAGAAAGTGTTTTCCACTTCATTTGTTCTTTTTTTAAAGAAAAAAAATTGTGTTTTTTAAATTGGCATGCAATTAAGATGATAATGTGCTCTCACTGATGGTGGAATCTCAGGGAAAAAAATATACCAAGTGGCTAAAGCTGTAAACTTTATCTAGTGGCTACCTTTCTGAAGGATTTTGAGAGTGCATTTTCAATTTTGCATCATGCTAAATATTTATTAGTGGGATTGACTGGAAATGCTTCAAAGGAGCTGTTCTGGTCTGCTAGATACATAATAGTGATTTTTAAAGAACTGCCTTAATAAGTGGTTACCTTAGGGAGCTCTTCTGGTCGTGTGGTTAAATAATACATATTTTATAAACTTCAGTGGAAGACTTAATGCTGTATTTTCATTCTAATACCTAAGGAAAAAAAAACAACAGGAAACATGAATACAACATTGGTGTGCTTCTGTTTGTGACAAGCCCTGCTAAAAGGAAAAGGATTCAAGGCTGCATCTGCCATGGAGTCTCCATAGTGGAGATTGCCTGCCTGACCTCTGCAGGCAAACTTACCTTTCCCCTAAGCTGCTGCTGCTTCATCTTTCTCCCCCTTGCCCCATTCTCTGCTTAGCAGATGGAAGCCCAAATATGCCCAAACCCTGGCGAAGTTTCTACAAGGCTGAAGTGGCTTAGAAATGTAGTCAGGTCCTTGTCCCTGCAGACCCTTCTGCGGCACCCCAGGCTGCTTTGAGGCAGGCAAGGAAGCAGAGGTGCTGGCTGGCTGCACGCTTGTCTGCTTTGGGGAACCGCAGGGTTAAACAGTGAAGAAGGGGTGCAAAGATTGGGTATCATTGCATTCATTTTTATGATGTTACACCTAATGATAGCAGGTGAAGACAGAAGAAAATCAAGGCCTTGAGGGAAAAGGTAAAGGGATGCTCACAATGCTGCTTGCCATGCACTTCTTGCTGTGCTTCCCAGCTAGAAGTTGACTCCCTCCCCTGTGCTGCAGCAATTCCTTTAACGTTGTATGTAATTTAGCATGTGGAAACTCAGGAGATGGCTAGGAGCAGGACCCAGTTCCTATCCTGCCTGTCACACTTCATCTCATGTCCTGGTATTGGAAGATCAGTCTCTGAGAAGTTAATTTAGCAGATGACTAAATGTTATTTAGCAGGGTAACATGGAACAGTTATCCTGCCATCCCAGCAGAGCTTCCAGCTTTCCTGAAAGTGCACTGAAAAAAATAACATGCAGCAGCCATCCCATGTCCGCAGCTCTGTCTGTCCAAGCAGAAAGTCACTGGGAGAAAGCAAGCAGAAACTGCAGACCACCCATATTTGCTTGAACAATGTTTGGGGCCAAGCAGTAGCTGCACCCCTGCTCCTGCTTTCCTCTCGGGGTGGAGCAAGTGATGATCTTTTACAGCTGATGTGAAGAAGGATTGCCCCTCCTTTTGTCCAAGCAGAAGTGTGGCTGCAGCTACTGTTTTAGCAAACATGGTGTGTGAGTGCCTATACATGAATATATATTTCCCCTCATCACAGGGTGGAAGAAGTGTGAAACAGCATTGCAGAGAGCCTCCTTGTGCACAGCCGATCTGGCAAGTGGTGAGGGCTCGCCCACCTGCTTGTAGTTGTTTATCTGGCTTACAGGCATATGGGAGACTAGCTAAAATGCAGCAATACATGTGTTTTGGTGTTAAGTGTAAAGAAGATAATCCAGCTGGCACTCCTGCCCCAGTGAAACCAGTGGACACTAAAAAAGTGACATTTAGAGTTGTTTTGGTTGGTTTATTTTGTTTTCCTGCCATTTGCAGAAATAGCATCTACATGTCATTTACATACACGCTGCTTTTACATTAAAAAAAAAGAAAAGAAACATTGTGGTTATGAATATGCTTTGGTTGTGATAAATATCTATGCTCATAACATTTTCCTTTCCATATATTTCCTCAAGCTTGAAGATTTGTAAACTGCATCCAACTTGAAGACAAAACCATTTTAATACACTATTTTCTTTTTTGCTAAAACCACCGGCAAAGTCTTCCTGCTTGTAGACATGTGCCTTCTTTTGTAGATGAAAAACCAATCCCTTTTTCTTTTTTTTGTTTTTTTTGTTTTTTTTGTTTTGTTTCTCCCAACAGGTCCTGGGTTATAGGTGCAATAGCCCTACTCTGCCTATTAGGACTGACCTGGGCCTTCGGACTCATGTATATCAATGAAAGCACAGTCATCATGGCGTATCTCTTCACCATATTCAATTCTCTGCAGGGAATGTTTATATTCATTTTCCATTGTGTCCTCCAGAAAAAGGTAAGACAGACAGTTCCCAGCAGCAAAAGAGGTGGTAACGGGGTGTTTTGTTGCCTGACAACCGCAGGATAACATCATCTGTGTGCCCTGAATTCGTCTCTCGCAAATTTATCTCCATGAACCTAATAAGGGTGGTATTTAGACTGGAAACCGGCAAGATGCAGGGGAATGAGGTGATAACGAAGATATGTGGCAGTGGCATTTCAGCAGCTGGGTCAGAGGAAAGGGAAAAGGCAGCTGGCAGTTTGCAGAGCTTTACAGTAGCGAACCTGCAAAAGGGCTTTGCCTGCTGTCGGCCAGATTTTTCTTTCCCATATGCTGGTGCAAGATGGGAGGGACTCCATGAGCATCTGGAGGGTCCTCGTGTGGCTGAGCGCTCAAGCAAAATGGAGCTTTACGTCCTCATTTGCAGTCCCTGCAGGAAAACACCCCTTTCTGTAGCAGTATATATGGGTTGATGGGGCTACTTTCCCCACTTTTTTAAGAAGTGAAGGACCTGTGCTCTGTAACAGTCATTAGCCTTTGTATTGCTTGGTCCTAATGTGGGCTTTTGGAAGTGTTCCTCAAAGTAACGCAGTAAGTGCTTCGTAGTGGAACTTGAAGTATGCCCCAATTAACATTTGCAAGATAACAGTGGAGTAATTTAGGTAAACCCTGAGAAAAAAAAAATAAAAATAAAAATCTCTGTGTGTATATGTAGATCAAACTTACAGCCTCTGACAATCAGTAATAAATATTTTTAATAACCATTTTATTCTCCACTGAAATTCAGTAGTACAGAGCTCTCTAATTCTGTGCATGTCTGCTGATAATTTTTTATGTACATCTTGGTTTCAAAGGGCAGGTTTTTTAACCAATATAAACATAGGAAAGAGTTTATACTTGGAAACATCTGGGTCCCAGTTTCTCAGCGTAACCAGTGGCTTTTGGTGAAATGGCGTACTGGGTAAAGTCAGGGATATGTTGAGGTGTGTTCTCCATCCGAGAGCCTTGGGCTTGCTCCTGTGTTACCCACATTTTCCTGTACAGGGAAGGGAGATCTGACCTATGAAAATGTAAGCAAAATTCAGCGTAGCAAGTGAGCTCTGCGAGCGATGTCTCTGGAAGGATCTGCAGAGCTGTGTGAAAATGTAATTCTTGAAACCAAAGGAAGAATTTTGAGGTTCAGAGTTTTGTCCTTGTCCTTTCATCTCAAATTTGTGCATCTTAAAAATCTTAAAAGCTTTATCTAGATGCAGCTGCCTGATGATGATCCCAAAACTTTCAGCTAGAAAGTTTCCAGGCAGGATGATAATAAGAATGTAGGAAGCATCACCGTTGCTAATTAAACCTGCAGATGCCTCTTTGATGAGGAGTTTGAATTTCTGCACCATTCTCACTGGTCCATCCTCTCGCCTCCAATGCACCTCGCAAAGGGTCAGTCTCTAACCTGGCATCCCAGCGTGGCACCGCAGCCTCCTTTGGCTATCAAGGTGCTCACTCGGCATGGAAGAACCATTCTCTTTTCTGTCTCAAGCTAGTCTACACCCTTAAACCATCACTGATGACTGTGGGATCGCTGCTGATTTATGGCTGCATAGAGGGAAGGAGAATGTAGCTAGTACCTTGCTGTGGGGTGCATGCATCTCTCTGACCAAGAGCTGAGGGAGGAATTATTTGAAAGGAGGAAAAAAAAAAATCCTTTCCTTTCCTATCTATCGTAGAGTAGAAAATCAGCAAAAAGCTGCAGAGAGGCAAGCAGTGGGTGGCTAATTAAAGCAATTGAATTATTTTCTCTCAGCAAAGGATTGATTAGGCACTCGAGCATATTGGGCACTCGTGGTATTGTATTTGTCTCAAGCACTTAAGGAAGAGCCTAATGAAAAAGCTGTAATTTGCTCTTTAAGCAATTGTTTCACAGAGTTTTGAAATGCTCATAGATAGTCTGGCAAAATTTCATGGCTGTGTGCTCCAAGGAACCTCAACTGGTGTTTTGGACATGCATGGTGTTTTTTGGCTATTTTTTTGACGATGGGCAACGTGACCTGGTTTGGGCTTTTGAGTACAGTCTGCTCATTTTCAGTCTTATCCCATCTGGTTTCTGGGTATTGCTGCCCATAAAAAATCACACCTGAAGCTCAGTCAGAGCTTAGATCCTGCCCTGGCACAAGTCAGCGTAGTTCCTCTGAAGCAAAGGAGGTGGCACAGCTTTACTCCAGGCAAGGAGTTGACCCAGTTTGACTGCGATGCCCATGTAAAACATGACTGGCTTGCACAGTGCTGTGGGAGAGCAGGCTCCAGCCACCCCTGTGCACTGGGAATATAATCTCTAGGGCTGCTGGCTCTGCAGTTTTGTTGAGTTTCAGTTTGACTGCAAGAAATATTTTTTTTAAAAAACACCGAAATAAACAATAGACCTTACGTATTTCTTTTGTAGTTTTTCTTCTTAGTCCCCTGCCAGAAGCAATAACTTCTAGTACGTTGACGAGCCAATATGCTAGTTCATATCAAATCTATGAGGATATTAATTTTCAGTCATAGTGTATCTGTAGTTTCTCCCATGCTCCTTTGATGTGCTTCAGAGGCAGCTACAACCAACTGGTGTCAACGAGCAGCTTTGCTGCATAAAACCAGTCCCTTACGCCATCGTAACCAGTGAGCTCACATATCGCAAGCATTCAGCTGCAAGGTGTAATAGGCTTCTTCCCCATAGACTGCAGCAGCTATCGTTTTAATGAACCACTGAGGAAAAATCAGGGGCCATGTTGAAAAAAGGGAAGATGATGGGTTGGAGGAGGAGCTGCCCATTAACTGTTGTTGCTCTTTCTGTGGCTAGGTACGTAAAGAGTATGGAAAATGCCTGCGCACACATTGCTGTAGTGGGAAAAGTACAGAGAGTTCTATCGGCTCAGGAAAAACCTCGGGGTCACGGACACCTGGAAGATATTCCACAGGCTCACAGGTAACCTGCACTTCTTGTCCATGCCCCAATGCTTTGTGCCACCACACCGATACCCTTCACAGCTATGCTGGGAGGAAACCTCTCGGCACCAAAGGAGCTGCCTTAGGTGTCCCCCCAGTGTACCCACAGAGGTTTCCCTCCCTCCCAGACCTGAATTCAACACAGTGGCTTCTCTTGGGATTTGATGGCAATTAGTGCCCCTGCAAGAACCTTCTAAATAATTGTGATGAGAATAAAAAGTCTAAATTTGCCTTCCAGAGGCAGGTGGGTGGGTGGTCATCACCTGAGCTGTCCTGCCCATTCTCCATGGGAATCAGGAGCTGGGAGCATTTTGTCAGCTATGCTACATCTGAGTATGTCCTTTAATCACGAGCTGAAGGTTGTTGTCACCACTATTGCTGTATACAGGAATGATGCTATAACAACCAAGTATTTTTCTTGCTACCAAATAGGCAGCAAGAGTCTTGCAGTAGCCTTCACAGTGAAAGTGCTTACTTTCTGGCATTTGGTGGTTTGATCAATTCCTTACCTCACTCAATTTGCCTTAGTTTATTAGACCTCTTAGGAGAATCCATTGGGGTCAGATTATCTTATTAAGTTACTGGATTTGTTACACTTCGGTCACCTGAAAATTCAGGTTTTGTGTAGTTTGTGCACTTAGCAATTTTTGAGCTAACTTGTACATACAGATGCAGATTATGGATGAACAGTTCATATAAAATGAAGAAGCTTACTTCTTAATCAATAGAAGCCAAACACAAATTTATTCAGTATTACTAATAGAAGTAATTATACATGACAATTCTACTATTAAATTATGAAAGACATGCAGCAAGTAACAATTTATAACCTCCCAGGAAAACCTAATTGGCAATTTATGTCTTGGAGCAAAATATTATTTTTCTTCAACGGTTTCCAAGATGTCATCCAAGACCTCCCCTTTGGCATTTACACAGGAGTGGATGTTATGCAGGGCAAATAACAGCAATAGGACATGGAGCCTCTCTCCAGTAAGCCATCAAATCCCACAGTAATCAATAATGTCCAAAACTCACTATATCCAGCAACGTTTAGTTAGCTGATTTGAAAGCCTTTGGTTTTACGTAACTTAGCTACCTGGTAGGTGCCCTCCTCTCTGACAAGGAGGCACCTTAATGGGCCCTCCCTCTTGGCAGTCTCAGCACAAGAAAACAAGCCCTTTTGAGGGTCAACTGCATCTCCTGGCAATAGTACCCTCGTGGCAGGTGAGGTTTGAGGTACCCAGGAAGATTATTTTACCTGAAGAAGCTTGACCTTGGAAGGATGGAAGTGCCTGAGAACTATCGTAGGCTGGAGAAGCCTCACATGGGTGATGGAAAGTGGATGTAGATCAGTCTGAGTTGTTAAAAGCATCTGGCTCCTAACTTCTGAATAGAGAAGTTCATGAAGAGGAAAACTCCTAAGATCCCTTTTTTTTCTCTGAAAAGCACTTGGGAAACAGAATAATTAATCCACTATGGATCATGTCAGAGAAATACAATAGATTAAATGTCCAGGTGAAAAATAATTTCTGTAGAAGTGCATGGGCCTCATGTCACATTGTGCTTCCGTTTATAGAGGGTTAATGCATGATTAGGAGATGCCATTACTACATAGTTAATGAGTAGACTGGGAGGCACTTTTCAGCTGTGACCACATGAGTAAGCACTGGAAAATCTTGCATGGCTAAGATCCCACTACAGGAAGCACTGGATTTTTAGCAATTAGGAAAAGCATGGTCTGTCACAGTGGGAGCCAGCCTTCCCGATCCCCCAGACCGCCTAGCACCACTTTCACGCAGCCATGGGACGCATCCATCATGGTCTGAGAGGTGAGGTGAGGTGAGGGAGAGTTTCCCCTGGACACCTGAGTTGCCCAGTCATCTTCACACGAGGAGCTCACAAGATGCATAATGGTTGATTTTTTGATCTTTTGCAAGATCTAGTTGGGGAGGAGCAAGACAGTGGCGTAAAAGCCACAGAGTTAGATACTCCAAAGCATATTTGAGAAAAAAAAACAGAAGGCAAACGTATTCGGGACACGGTTTCTCCAGCAGCAGAAGCTATACCACAGATGGCAAAACCAGTAGGGGAACAGAATTCATTCATTTGTGGGTTTGGCCCCCCAGTATTTCTCAAGATGGATAGTAGGTATAGAAAACTTCTGTTCGTTCAGGGACACCAAGACACAGATCAAGTCTTCTGTTACACTTCATAAAAAATAAGACAGAAGCTGTCTGAGTTAGTACAGGAAGCATGTGTGCTTTTGTGTGTAAGTTATTTTTCCGTTATTTAGTGCTATATTGGTAAATCTGTAGCTCGCATGGGTCTGGGTTTCTCTCATATATGATTTCTATTCCTTTTTTAATTAAGATGTAAGCAATCCAATTATGCACTTCTTTGAGATAGACGTTTGTGTTATGAAGTTAGGCAGGCAGTGTCTGGCATGCAAAAGGTGGGTTGTAGCAAAACAACAACCCCTTGCTTACAGCTGGCTAGAAGCAAGTCTCATCCTGACCTAGACATGCCAATAGCCATCTTCAGTGAGGCAGAAAGAAACCTATATGCAGCTGCTAAAAATTCATTACCTGCTGTGGTTCAATCCCTCTTCAGAGCCGGATTCGTAGGATGTGGAATGACACAGTTCGAAAGCAGTCCGAGTCTTCCTTTATTACTGGAGATATAAACAGTTCAGCTTCACTCAACAGAGGTAATTATAAACTATTTTTCATATCTCTAACTCTTGTGATGGTTTTAAGGAGTCTGAAATGTGATGCCCCTTTCCCCTTCTCACCTCGAACAGCACTGGACTCTATTCTCCCACATAAGAAATGTTACAATGTTACCTGGGGTTTGTGGTGGTTGTTGCCTTTTTTCCTTTTTCTTTATTTTTACACATGCATTTTCAAGAATTGTCATTTCTGGAAGGGAGTTAGGAAAAGCAAAAAAGATAAATGAAGTTGAAGAGAAATCTGCCCTTTCCCTCAGCAAACTGCTAGTGCCAGAACCTGCTGAGGTGTCAGACCTCATTGCTGATGGTGAAAATGGGCCATTATGGCACTGTACAGCCTGTGTTAAGCATCACAGGAGTCCTGCTTGTCCTGGGTATGTACCAATACTGTCATCTTTATGGAAGCAAAAATGAACAGCAGAGCATAGATGTAAGAAAAAACTGTGCTTGGAACAAAATTGTCTGCGTTGATGATATACCTAGTTTGAAGAACTGACTGGTGTGGTCTTTTATAGACATCTGTGGAGGAAAGGCTATCAGAAACATATATGCCAAACAAAATGTGTGCCTGGCACAGGAGGAAATCTGAACAGCTTTTTTAGAAAAAAGTCTTTTTCAGGGAGTTGCAGGAAAATGATGGTAAGGGAATACCAGAAAAAGAGCCTCAGAGATTGGTTTCTTTCTCCTCCAGTACAATTACTTCATGGCTTAGCAGTGAGCAACCAGATGCCAAATTCTGTTTTGTGTATCTGCCCAGCTGATGCTGGAATTAAGGGTGTAGAATTGGGATTATTGGGCCCAGCTGTTTTTTCATGATGGTGAAAACCAAAAGTATTTCCAGTCCTGATGGTTGGACTGCAAAGATCAACTGAGAATTGGGTTGGGACTTTGATTCTTATTCAGTCTTTATTCACCCAGAATTCCCACTGATTTTAGGATGAGTTTTGCCTGAGGATAAACTTGAAGGATTTTGACTGTGCTGTTAGTAATATTGACTACTGAGTATTGGGGAACTAGGGGTACACGATTCAGTGCTCTGAACATTATATATATTGCCCAAATCAGTGCAAAGGGGAAGGCAGTTTAGTTAACATGGAGATGTACTTTTCTTCCTCTCCCTGGTGGTTTTTGTGCCAGGCTATTTTCACTTTGCACTGAAGATTCATGGATAAAGAAGGCTGTAAGATGCTGTTACTGCAAATGCCTGATTTATCCACATGCGTTGCCCTCGCATCTCTCTCTGTCTTTGCATTGAAGACTGGAGAGCTACAGCCAGGCTTCTCCAGGGCTAATTTAGAAGGGGGTTGGTTGTCGCACAAAGTTTACAGCATGAACTACTGTTTCCCTTGGCCATCCATCACTCTGTCTCAGCGGCAAACCAAAATGTGTTATGTATGAAATGTTCACTCCTTTAGTTAGCGCAGAAGTTGACTTGCTCTCCAATGCAGACGAGGCTACAAAGGGAAATGCTGTAACAAACAGGAGCTTCTGGGCTTGTCGGCAGAAGAAAGGCATCTCTCCTTTTTCAGTTTAGGGTTTTTTTCAGTGCAAAGAAGGGAGCATGACCATAAATTGGGAAAGCTGTGAAGAGGTTTCAGGCGGGCAATCTTCATCCCAGTGTGGCGAAAGCCTGTTACTAGATGTGCCTGTTATTTAAAGGTCACTTGGGAAATGAACTGCCAGGGGAGGCATCTTCAAAGCAGATTTCATCCAGCTATTTTCCTTGTGTAACATTGGATGAGATGAATCACCCGAAGGGTGTGAATCTCATCACTGACTACAGAAGCAGCCTGATAACCGGCTTGGAAGGGAAGCCTTTTAGGTGGGACACTTAAATGACTTGAATAAGTTGTACTATTATACAGGGGCAATCCTCCCTCTTTTTCACACTGGCAGGCACAATATTTGTTGATGTTTTTTTTCTTTTCTGTTAGACAGAAGTATCTGCAAAATGGAGGTTAAAACATTTCTTTGGGAGTTAGCATCTCAAAAGCAGCAGGCGGTCAGTTCTGCTAGGAAAATATACCTGACATCAACAGTAATCCCAACTGCATGGGGCCCTAGATATTTCACACTTTATCCTGTTTATTCCAGTTGAAAAGAAATGTTCGTGGTCTTAGGGCTTTGCATAGAGGATAAGTTGTTTCTTCAGCCTCTCCAGAGAGAGCTGCAGCCTGAACAAACCAGTGGGGCAGTGCAGTTTTCACAGTTCTTGTCTTCCTCTTAATATTTTAATATGTATCAAGCCTTAAAGGAGCTGTATCACTAATGTTTTATTTACAAGTTTGCAATAAAAGCTGAGATGAGTGAAGTGCGAGCCTTCAATTGTATGGTTAGTGGCTTTCCCTGCCCAAGGTTGATACAACAGGTTTGCATACCTGTTCAAAAGTCCCTCTCTAGCTCTCCCAGCCTAGACACCTTTTGCATTAAAGTATCTGTATTATCCCAAATTGAACATTCTTTGCATGCTAGTATTTTTCCCAGAGCCTGCAGACAGTAGCCCCCTTTCTAAAACAGAGATCCTTTCTCCCCAGAATCGCCCTCCTCCAGGTCCTGGCCCAACTCCACTTCTCCATGTCCTGGGCCAGCCTTGAGTTTTCACGTTTCTGTCGTGGGAGCAGAAAGCAGTCAGACATCCTCCCGATGGGCTACTTTTTCATTTAAGCCTTTTGTTTCCCTGATCACATTCACAGTACTCACAGTCCCCTGCCACTTGATAACATCCCAGGCAAGACTGCTCTAGCTATCTGTACTCCTGTATGACGACCAGTATCTCTCTGTACCATCCCTCTTCTTCCTCCATGAAGCTCCTGGGCATCAGTCAGACTTATGGTGCCTGTGTTAGTGCATTCCTCCTTTAGACATGTAACTATGTCTTCTTCTGATTTAGCAGATACCACAGTGCTTATGGCTTTTTTCAGCGCCAAATCCTCTTTGTCTACTACCCCCCAAAGTAATTTGCCATAATGTTATTTTTCTTATTCTCATTTATTATACCAGGAATTTCAGGCATAACCGCAAACTTGCCTGATATAATGTGTTCTGTAATGAAAAGTATACTTACTCTTGACTCCTAAAATATACACAAACATTTCAGATATTTCCTGAAGGTAACGTCTAATCACAGATTAGAAAATGTTTTAGGCTTGTTTCCCCTTGCTGCTTGTTATGGCTTAGTAATGGTGTGTATTTGGGGTTGTTCTACTACTGAAATCAGGAGGAAGGGAACAGAAACCGGCTATGGATTTCCTCTTCTACCACCAAATGAAGAGCATGGCAGTCCACCCTATGGTCATGAACTCTGTTTCAGGATCCAGGGGAATTCCTGCTCCTGGCACTCTCACTCGGCAACCTTGCCCAATTTTTTACACCATGAGTCTGGCTGGACATTTCTGTCATCTGTTTCACATCCACCCTGTGCTCTACATTTCTTTTTCCAGTGCTGAAAACTGGGAGGGGTGTAAAAGCTGAACCAAGCTGATTACCTCGTGAGCAGAAAAAAAGAAGTCTCCTACACCTGTAGGGTGTTTGGTGTAAGTGGTCTTGATACAGGCACTTCGATGCAATGCTGAAAAACTGGACCAAAAGGGATACATGTAGGATGGACTTTTTGTAAAACTTACAGCTTTGAAGGCTAAAAAGTAGAAGGTATAAAGGGAAAGCAGCAGACAGTTTTCCTTTGTGTTAGGTTCATGAGGAGAAAGCAGAGCAGATGACTATTTCATTTGTAAAAACAGCAAATTTTTTGGTACTTGGACTAAGGACAGTTTTTAAAAAGAGCTAGAGATTAAAAGCAGTTAACAGCATTACTGTTATTCCAATTCTGCTGTACTTGTGCTTTGGTAATCTAATCATGGACCTGTGCTGTATCCATGGATTGAGCCAGCAAGGGAAATCAGGGATGTCTCGTAGCATGGTGTTGATGGCAAGAGGAGTGGATGGCAGGGGACTGCTGTCAGCATGAGCATGGCTGGGCTCTGATGGTGGAGCACGGGCCCGAGCTTTGGGTACATCCAAGTGGCCACCTCAGGAGCATGAGGGACAGGTCTGTTTGCACCTTCCGAGCGTTACTGTCAAAAAGCACTTGGATAGCTCAGACAGCCTTGCAAACAAGCAGTCAGAACATGAAGCAGCAATGCAACTCCAGCCTATTTTTATCCATGTCTTAGGTGAGAGGTAATACAGAAATTACTGTCTCTCTTTAGATATGAGACAACTGAGAGAGAAGAAACTTCATCATGAACTATATGGTTCTTTGTTACCCTTCAGGTTTTCAAGTTGGCAGGGTGTGGTTGGTTGGTTTTTGGTGTTGGTTTTTTGTTGTGTTTTTTCCCAGAGGAAAAATGGAAGTTATCTGTTAAAGAAAGGAGTGATCCTTGTTTTGGTGAGGCTTGAGAGCAGCAGAGACAAAGAAGAGTTTGTCACTTGTATGAGGCAGTGCTTTGTTATAGGAAAATGCACTGATGGAGCTATGTATATCCATTCAAGTTAGCAGATAAGGGGAACTATATTTTCATTTGTGGCAAATGGTTACTGCATCTTAATGGTTTTTCCCTCTTTGGGGAAGTAAATGGGCTAGGGGTAAAGCCACTAGATTTCTTTGAAAACAGAAACTCCAGAAGTCTGTTGTGTTGGGTCAAGTGCTGTACTCCCGCTGTAATGCTCTGAGTCTTGGCTTGCAAACTAGGCAGCAAGTTTAATAGTTTATTCCTTAATAGTCTTGCTATACAACAGGAGTATGTGCACCTCTTGTCTTTTGGCTATATGCATACGTACTTTATGTCCCCTCACCTTCAAAGCACTGCACACCATCCCCACCACCCTCATCCACAGAGGTCTCCTGGAGGCATTTCCTGGTGGTCTACATTGCTGCTCCACTTGGCTGAAGGACAAAAAACATCAAGGATCTGTAAGAGCAGAGCTGTTTCGTGAGGGAGAAGAGCTGGGAGCTGAGGGGGAGTCAAGAAGAAGCCATGCCC